TCTACAGTATTTTTTTCTTATTCATTCCGGAAACTTATAGTGCGCCCCACGTATGCTTTCTTTATCACCTTTTGTAGTTATTGGCAAAATAAGCGAATGCACTTATATTTTGTATTATTTTATGAAATAACTCCATTAGTTTGCTAGTTTGTTGGAGTCCTTTCGGATCGAAGGAATTTTCGATCTTTGCATATTTAATAATTACAATAAGCGAAATTTGATTCTTTATTATAAATAAATTAATCTCCTCTATACGCACAACTTTATTACCTATGGCAGTAAATTAAACAAATTACTATTAAAAAAATATGGTAGGCAAGCTTTGTAATTGAGAAACTAAAAAAAATCAGCATCACAAACCACAAAACCGAATATCCGCGTTCGGCAATTCGCACCAATTTTATTTGGTAAATATTTTATCTGCCCCATGTATTTTATTTACCATTCGCAGCGCGTGACCGCGATCGTTTTCGTAGGTGTGATTACACTGTTCATTTGTCATTTACAGATTTTTACCACTAAAGATTAAATTCATTTTTGTATTACCGTTTGTAACCATTCAAGTATTTATTTATTTACAAATGTAATGTAAACGTAATTGTAAATAAATAATTTGTAAACAAAACAAAATTAGAAATCAATAGTAAAATTCCTTTCTTTGACTTTTAACAAATGAATAACAAGTTCTTGGGATTTCGCGATTGTTACACATGATCATGGCAATTTAGAACGGAATTCATGATATACAAATTAATAATACACAAAATTGGCGAAAAAAAATGTTTCGTTTCCAGTGTGTAACAATCGCGAAAACCTAAGAACTTAATATACTAAGAAATGGGCGTATGACTCGGCTACAGAAGACTCTATGAAGCATATTACCAACCCATAACGTTAAAAACACACAAAAAATTATGAAGGTTACCTATCAGTAGTCCGAAATGACATTTTCCTGAAATAACGTTTAATCGTATTTTCATAACCTCTAAAATAATTTTGAGAGGAAAATGTTTTTTCTCTTGAACCTAACTTAACCTAACCTAACTGAACCTAATCGTGTCTTTGCGATAAACATCCAACATACCCTGAAAGAATAACGGTTTCTTTATAATTTAGTTTTCGGTGAAAATTCGAACAAACGTTATTTCGGAAAAAAAAATCGAGTTTGTGATAGGTTACCAAATATGAAACATAATATTTACACCTGAGTAATAACGATAATAATTAAAGAATACAATTAAAATATTCAACAACATTACAACACATAAGGTATAAATATATGACCATGGGTACCAATTCCAAGTAGTAACTTAACTTAAGTAATTTGCATCTCGAGATTGTTTGTCAACTGGCCATTGTAAGCAATTTCGTCTGAAAGTCGGTAACGACTGCACTTCACACAGGAGGAGACAATTTCATTCAAAGATTGAATTTCATCAACAATCTAAAATTTTATTAATATTTTACATTAGGCATATTTATAACAACCCTGGGTGAGCTCTCTCACCTGTCAGGCATGCTATTTCTCAGCATATGTTTGCGTCTTATGCTCACTGAAAAGGTAAATAGCCATATATTTTTAAGCACAGAATGTAAAAAACACGCAAATTTTAAGCAACATGAGGAACGCATACTGAGAATCTGATTCTTAACGAGATCAGATGTAATGTGATCTCGTCTTGACGCTGCGTAACATAAACGTTCGCATGCGTTTGTAATATATATCGCAATAGGTTCGGATAATGCCGAAGAGTTGTACAATCAAGTGTCACTTAAAGGTCTAATTTTATATGTTCCAAGAACCGCAAAACACTCTTATTTGGATTCACTCATTGTTCTACCGATCATTTCGAGATAGAAATTGGATTCGTTTTATTAACCATACATAGCACATTAGTCGCAATGGATACCTTCGCCACTACAGTCAGTGTATGTAAGTAGTACATAAAGTAGAGTATCGTCTGCTCTGCGTATAAATTTTAGTTACAACTTAATACGGCTAATAATAATAGAAATATTCGTTGTGTAAATTGCAAACAGCATAGATCCAATTACTCCCTCAATTACAGTAGAGCCCTAAATTACACCTTTAGTTACACTGCAGTTTACATCTCAATATTTTTTTCCTTCGAAATTCTTACATTCCACATTTAACTGCGGCCTAAAAACTACGAACGACGACAACGAAGATTGCTACCACTGAATTATAATCACTTTTAATATCAATGACTACATTAAGATCCTGCAAAAGGCATTTTTCTTTATAAAAAAAAAGAAACCACTATCGAATTTTTAACTACCAGTATAGAGAATGAAATATTGTATGTAGGCGTATAATATGTAACGCACTTCGGGAAATAACTATCACAGTAATTTCCTCAACAGCTGCAAGGATACACCACAATAACCAAAAGGAACTACCTACTTATAAAACGACATAAAGCATATTCTAAGAACCATTATATTTCGAACAACTTTACTTCACATTTAGTGGACTTAATTCAATTATAACACTATTGTAATGCGAGTTTTTGCTCTCGAAACGTTACAAAGCGTTTATTTTGCCAACAATAACTGTATTTCGGGGGCACAATAAGAAATCTCGACCACATTGACGCCTCGTCACGATGGTCAGTAATTTTTTAACACTTCATATCGTGGAGGATAGAATAAGGGACGCAAATACTTGTATGAAAAAATTAAAGACGTAAATGGAACTAAATTTGTCTCCTAAAGTATATTTTATTTGGAACGCTTTGTGTTGTACAATTTTTTGATACTGGAATATGCAAATAATATACTATATGAAATAATAATAATACCTGATTAGATGGTGAGTACTATGTTAATATACTGAATAAAAATGATAATAATAAATAAATATTTCAAGATTTTTTCTTGTTCCCATGAGTACCAAAATAAAATCAGTACATACATAATCTCTATTATGTTCATTGATTGAAACTGTATGTATATGATCAATTAAATATATTAGAATTAGAATAGAATAATGTGATCAAAGAGATTAACAAAATATCAAATATTAACATTTAAATCGTGGATATACAGTCTGTGACAAATGAATACTGATTAAGTAAATTTAAGATTTGTGCTTTGACACCGACTTGTGTGAATAAATTTTCCTATAGAGTTTAGAAGATTTCTAGTTGGTGTGATCTCATTGCTAGCCAAAGGATGTAAAGGTATTACTTAATTGTCATTTATTTTTCTGTGTCACCTATATACTGTAATTTCTGTTGCGTTCTTTAAAAAAATCCCTGAGTTTTGCGTTTAACATATTTCACTTGTATTATACTGAGTCCATTACACTATTTTGTTTACTATGTAACATAACTGTATTCGAGCTATAACCAAGTATTTGTAAGTGAAGTGTTTACTATGACCTGCATCAGATAGAATCTTAATCGGGCTTAGAGATTGTAATCCTTTGTGAGGATGTCTACCGTGGAGTTGCGGTTGAATGACGTGCCACCAGAGGTGGACAATGATCGTTTTGTTCAACGGCCACACCATAACACTCACTATGTTTTGGTTAATCTTCATCTAACTTTCTGCATCCGGTTTAAATTGATAGTAAAGTTACGTTAATTAATTCTTATTAATGAATCGTTATATTACGCAGATTTGTTTTAAAAAAAACCAACAACCTCGCAGGACTGCATTCCTAACATCATAGACAACAACTTTTGTTCCATGACTTTTTACTTTCTTTTATTACTACACAGAGTTATCACCGGCTAGAGCGATGTAATTAAATAATTTTATTTTTGTACGAAAGTAAAATATGATGATTTATTAAGTATCAGGCAACAAAAGTTGCTATATATGATGTTGGTAACATTATAGTCCTGCGAGATTGTTAGTATTTTATAAATAACCCTGTATATTTAAATTTCATATTTTCTTTAATGATCACATTATGAAATAAATATCAATGGGAGTGTACCACAAAAAAGCTTTCAAGTTTTCTGTCTGCTATAGTGACAACCAATTGAAATCTAGGTAATGCCCTAAGCATGGAAAAAGTGCTCTGTGCCCATCGAGTATATCACCAGAAATATGGCCATCCACCCCTGGCAACTCATTAGGTACACTTTTAAGTATCAACTCTCGTTTTCGCTGAAATCACAAATTAGAAAACTGAAATAGTACAGAGCCAACAACTGACCTGTGTGTACGTCTCCGTATATTCCAAAAATATTCCGTATTTATTGCATTAAAGATAATATGTCTAACTATGGGGAACTGTTCCATTCGGTGGTGTGGGAAAAACAGCAAAACATCTAATTACAAAAAAAAACAGATTTAGTCGGTAAATAAACATTATGTGTAATTTTTCGATTTTCGCCCATTAAAGCAACGCCAAATTAAATTGGTCGATTTGAAGCTTAGAGGATGGAATTTGAAGTGAAACAATTGACGACACCCGTCAATTATTTCGAATTCGGACTGGTCAATCGGAGTGCAGTTGTCACAGTAATGATTTGGCAGAATGATTTTCAAACAAATTAATTGACATTTCGTCTCTATTTTTGGTTATATACTCAATGTCTGTGCCTAACCCTAAAGAAAAAAAGACTCGTCACAGTGAACTGACACTGACACAAGCCTAGTGGAAACAAGAATAATTACATGTTTAAATAGTTTCAATATTTATGTTAAATTACTATAAATGAGTACCCAATATGAAGTTTTTTGTACTTCCAAGTTCCAGGCGCAAATTCGTACACATATTTCTCATTATAGTAGGCTTCAGTATCATACATTATATTTTCAGCCTAATGTTTGAGATTACAAGGGCTGTAAATAAAGTCAAGAATCTCATTTGGAATAAGCATTCTGACCAAACAAAATATATACTCTTATGGGACGACTTCTATTTGATATGGTATCGAAACAGAAGTGTGTTTCCAAAAATTAACTGTCCTATTAAGGAATGTGAGTTTTTTATGAATAGGATTCCGTACAGCGCTCACCCCTCTCACTTCGATGCTATTATTTTTCCACCAAAGAATTTGACTCGCGAATTCAGACCAAGTGTCCGAACGAGAAGTCAGATTTATATTTTCACCTCTTTGACGTCATCGCGCATGGCACCAGTTTGCGATGAGTTTAATGACAATTTTTTCAACTGGACTCTCACCTATAGGCTGGACTCGCACATACCATGGACCTACTTTTCCATAAGGAATAAATCAGGAGGTATCGTAGCTCCGAGTCTCGATGTGATTTGGGAAGATAATTACTTGTACACATCGACAACGATCAAGCCAGTTTTAAAAAGCATACTTTCAAAAAAAACTAAAGCAGTCGTTTGGATTGTGACATTATGCCCGAGTAAGAGTTTCATTGAAAATTACTTGCTTATTTTACAGACAGTATTAGTGTATTTTTCGTTGAAAATTGACTTGTACGGAGAATGTTCTTATAAGAAGTGCCCAGATAATGATTGCCCGAAACTAATAAAAGAGAACTACCTCTTTTACATGGCATATGAAAATTCAATAATTGAAGATTACGTGACGGAGAAAGTTTTATATGGATATGAAAATTTTGCAGTCCCGATAGTATATGGGGGAGCTAATTATTCTAGGTACGTATCTGCGGAAGCACCTACGATTATCCATATATGACCGATTCATAAAATTACAAATAAGTTAAAAATAAACTATCCGTCTGCCTTACTGTTTGTGTTTTAAAAATGTAGACAAAAAATAAACCTAAAATATTAAACAAATTCGACAAACAATAAACCGAAAAAGTTTATTTAATTTGTTAAGTATTTATAACGATCTCTCTTCTCTCAGGCTCCAGCTGAAAACCAGCAATTTAGGCTGCTAATGTGTATTTTAGTTTATTTAATTTTATTTTTAACTAACTTCAAAAAAAGGAGAAGGTTCTCAATTCGCCTATATGTTTTTTTGTATGTATGTTACGCGACAACTCCGGTATTTGTGAACCGACTTTTAAGGTTCTATTTTTGTTGGAAAGAGGGTACCTCAGTAATTCTATTTAGATTTGAAGAAAATATTTCACCTCTAAAGGTGGCAAACTTTATATAAATGACTTTTGAGATCAGTTTTTTAGTACGATCTCTACTGAGATTATTATATTATTATATGTAGCTGAAACTACTTGATAATGTTTAAAATGTTATTGTGTATGACCGATTAAATGTTTCTTTCTTTAGCATTTCAGTCCATACATAGTACCTACTCACTAAGTATTTTCCTATATTTTCAGATTCCTACCCCCAGGTTCCTACGTAAATGCAAAGGACCTTAACCCCTACGACTTAGCGTTGATCATCTATTCAGCAGTGATTAATCGAACTGACTACGAACAATATTTTAAATGGACAAATCATTACAGTGTAGAAGCGTCACCTAAGGATTATCACCCTCTATGCGATTTATGTGCGGCGCTTCACACTGACTTCGCCAAGAACGCACCCGCTATAAAGAACTTTAGAAAATGGTGGATGGGCAAGGATGGCATGAAATGGTGTCTACCTGAACATTATAAAGATGATGACTGGAAAAGTAGTTCAAAGGTTAATACAAAGCTTACTGTAGTTGCTAAAAGGATTTACTGCAATTTGTACCGAAAATTTAAACCAAGAATCACTGATTCAATGAAAAATGATGCTTATTATTTCGAAGAATCTTCATCCTAACAAATAATTTTGTATAGATTTACCTGCTATTATTGTGCTTATTTACGTTTAAAGTTTTGTGTTATTTTTTTACTTTACAATATGAAATTCATTTTATGAAATTAAATCGAATTCCATCTATTTGCCAAGTTTTACTGGAATCGGTTACTGTAAAGTGCGCGAAACAGGATACATAGGGCTACTTTGCCACTCTTAGCGTCGTATTTCAGAACTCTACTCAATGCTCAAGTCAGGACTTGAGTATGATTCAAAGCACTAGAAATCATATTCAAGTCCTTGCCATTAGAGTCGTATTTCCAGTGCTTGAAATCATACTCAAGACTGCTCAAATCCTGACTTGAGCATTGAGTAGAGTTCTGAAATACGACGCTAAGAGGTGGAATATTTTCTTCAAATTTAAATGAGACCACTACTGGATGCCCTCTTTCCAACAAAAAAGAATCCTCAAAATCGGTTCATAAATTTAATCGGTACCGCGTAACTTACATACAAAAAAATACATAAAATCGAATTGAGAACCTCCATCTTTTTATTAATTAATTATTATTTCAAATCAAAGTCACGGAAAACTAATCTGTAGGAGCTTAGCGAAAACTCATCAAGCAAATTATTAGTGTGGGACTTCATAGAAAGCGGGCGATAGTTTTCTAATCCTCCTGCTCGAAGGATGCTTGAAGGGGATATTAACTTCACCATACAAAAGAGCATGTTGCTATACGAATTGCGGTACAAAGATGGAGTAATAAATGTTTGACACGGTAATTGTGGATTTTTAAATTTGAGAGTGAAAGGTAGTCAAGTATTTAGGAGCGATTGAAGATTTTTTTTTAATGAAACTACAATTAACTACAACATCCGACCGATTTGGAGGCTGTACATTTAATAATCAAATACAAAATATATAATTTCTAAAGCTAATACCTTATCTATTCCTGGAGTTGTTACGCACTTTAGCGCATTATGAGCGTCGGTTGCTTACAAGTATATTAGTATGTATTTCGGTTGTAATACCTAGAGTTAAGCTCTAATTTGTATGGAGCGCGGGCGACCACAACGCATAACTAGGATGCTCTCGTTTATTTATCTATACATAGTAAAACTAATTGATTTCCGACATACTCTCTTGTCAGCCGCTGGTAGAAAGAACCTGACTGAGTGCAGAAAAAACTGCCATAATATGTTTCTTATCGGTGGCGCTACAGCGAAAAAGCCTTTAAAACCGAAACAAAGATCTGCAACAAGCACATAGCGTCGTCTTAGAGTGAATATCTCGTATGTGATATGTAATTTTTCAGGACAAAGATAAAATATGGTAAAAAATTTGATAAACGCAATAATATTTGTAGTTAGCATTTTAATTAGTTAAATTATATCTATTTCAGATACTATCTTACTTTAATAATATATTTGAGCAAGAGGTTTATAAAATTTTCTCTAACAAAATTCAGTAAAAACGAATCATGTGAAAACGTGAGGTATCTCGTATACCTTTTCACTCTAAGGCGACGACAGAGAGATTCGTAAGGTCTACTAACTGGTTCCGAAGCTCAGTTGACATTTTTTATGACACCAAGTGACGGGACGAACCAGTCGTGTGAAGCTTCAAATCGCGAAGACCTAAAGGGCACTTCCTTGAGATATAAGTTGACATGTCCTATAATGCCTATAATTAATCATCACCCTTACTCTTCAAAACCGGAACACAGTACTGCTCACATTACTGCTTGGCGGCAGAAATAGCTAAGGTGGCAACACTTGCCTGGACAAACTCTTTCACAGGGAACTCTACTACTACTAAAAAGTACATTATTTTTATTTAAAAAATATTTTATAGTAAAAACATCATGATATTCATCAAAATAAATATTCTGGCATACTTTTGCTTGTACTTTTGTGTCATATTGTTATTGAACAACTACCTAAATGTTTATAGGTAGTTGTTAAAAACAAAGGTGTAAACGAAATCGGGATATCATAATATTATTTCTGTACTAATTTCAACACAGAATTAAATAATATTCGTTTAAGGAAGTACCAATGAACCCCAAAGTTCAGTTAATGGAGTATAAAAATATCTATACAAGTTACCCTTACAGGCGGGGGAGTCGCGGCAAATCGGGCGACTGCCGACACAATACGGTAGTTAGGGAGGGGGCTATCATTTAACGAGTGAATTATTTAGTACCTAAATGTTCCCAAATAATAACATTTTGATGTAGATTGAGTATAAATACAGCCAATGAGTATAATCCTGTAACTAAAGATTTTCGTGGTTGATTATAATTAGTTACACGTTTCTTATTTACCAACCCGTGCCTATGAAGCATGTAATCATTCTGAATTATCGATCATATAATAAGTCGTAGGCATCGTGGTAAGCCTGGTGCTAAGCGATACTCCTGTCTATAATAGCTGCAGTGTACTGCCATTGTGCCCGGCACCCTGAAATATAACTTGACAATTCCCATATAATTTCACTACTTACTTTCTTCAAAACCGGAACAAAAAATGCTCACATATCCTGCTTAGCGGCAGATACAGGTAAAGTGGCAATACTTCCCTTTCATAAGGAGTTCTACTGCTAATATGAAAATCAATCCTGTACCTTAGTAGCTATGTCCAAATAATCCTTCTAACCTATTCGAGCCTGTTCTTGTCCCGTTGCAGGGCAAAAGCCTCTTCCCTCTTTTTCCATTGATCATTGGCCCCGGCAAGTCCTTTAAAAAATTACTCTAAATCATCCCACCATCAGTGCGTCCTCGTTTTGAGTTGTGCGACTTCCACTTCGTTATCTTTTCCCACAACTCGCTCGACATGCGGCAGACGGGACCAGCCCAGACACTTTTTTTACAGGCAATGTGTATAATCCTGTAACTAAAGTTTTTGTTTTTTTTACGTGGGGAAATCCTCCTAGGATTCTACTGCAACTTGGCTGCCTTATCATTAATTTGGAAATTATAGACAAACCCTAAAAGAGATTGATAATCGACAGAATACCTGAATTGTTGCCGGTAACCTCAAAAAGAGTTAGATAAAATAAGACTTTTATTGGACAAATTATTTATGCGCTAGGCAAGATATGAAATTACAGAAACGTGACATGATTCTTTTAACTATATTGAGTCATTTACACATGTGCCATTAATTAGTTACATGAACAACATCTTTAGCAAATCAATGTGTATCAAATCTTTAAAATCACGTCGGACACTACAAAGTGACTTGGTTAAACTTTTCCTGTGCAAACTAGGGGTGATTGCGCCCTCAGATGGTTAACCAATGAGGATTCGAGTGTTACGGTAAATACGGACCCTTAAGTGTCGAATATAGTACTGACTTAGTAATCTAATTAAATAATATACAGTGTGTAACAAATGTATCTTATGGTATTTTGGGACGTGTCTATGACCCAGAAAAATCTTAAAAAGAAAAAATCGAGACAAAGTTTTTGAAATTTTCTTACACTTTCTGACAGATCTTTTCCGACTTTTTTCACTAGTGAAAAAAACGATTGGTGATCTTTTATTAGTTTACGAAACATGTTACGTGTTTTTATATCTTGACATTGTGGTTCTCACAGAAATCTGTGAAAAAATTATTTTTTATTTCTGTGGTGTTTGTTCATCGTCATTATATCCTGTATCTTCTAGCCAATCGCGTTTTTTCACAAAAAGTAATTTGCACGGTCCATAGACTTTTGCCTTTCCTCAAGGAAGAAGATGAACATAACATCTATTTAACTGTCTAAATATATCGTAGTCTAACCATTGGTAGCAGAGCGCGATAGGAACAGTATAATTCATTAAAGAAGAAATAATGACAAGAAAATGTGTAACTGGTGTGAAAAATAAAAATGTCCTAAATGTTAAGCCCAAATATTAACTTTCTATTTATAACGATATACTAAAGCCTCCCCTTGTTGTACAACAATTTTAGAATAGATGTACAGTCAAGAAATCAACTCCGTTCTCAGAAAAATCTTAATAAGAAATAAATGAAGGTAGTAAGGTAACAAAGAGTGTGAGCACTGATACAGGAATAGCAAATGGAGGTAAAGGGGTAATTTTCAGGTTTATTTTCTGTGCCTAATTTCGGTGGCAATTTATTATTTAAGTATTCGAGTATATTATCGAGAAATATTAAATAATATTTCAGGATACTGCACTCGAATTATAATAAAACTTTATGATAATATTCTAGAATATTTAAATAATAAAAATTGCAACCGACATTAGACAGAGAAATCTAATCTGATGAACCGAAAATGCCATTTATTCGTAAAAAAAATTATATCATGGTGAAGTCATGACACAGAAAATTTGTAGTATTAAAAAATTAAACAAATTAAAACTTGTGAAAATTTGACAGTATATAAAGACTAATTACCGTAGTAAATGTATAACCACATCATTGAACAGACAGAACTGTTCAAAAATCAACACCCTCTTTCAACCCTATATGTACACAACAGGTTGGTTCAAGAAAAGGTTACGCCACTTAAACGAGGATCAGATCTAAAGACGGCTACGAAAAATAATTTAATTATGGGCCTTAAAATCAAAAAGGTCATTTTTCCTGAGTGTAAAACTTGCCTAAACGCAAAAATTATAAGGCTTCCTTACACAATTGTTGACGTTTTCAACGGCTATGAGCAGAATGCGATGGATTTAGAATGTAGTAGAAGTGGTAGAGCTCTTTGCGAAGTAGCAGTAGAGCTCCTTGTGAAAGAGTTCGTCCAGAGAAGTACTGCCACCTTACCTATTTCTGCCGCCAAGTGGTAATGTTACCATTCTTGCGTTCCTTTTTCTGAAGGGTTAAGGGTGCTGGAGAAATTCCAGGCAAATGGGATTTGTCAACTAATATCTCAGGGTCACGGGCGTAGTGGGAATGCCCCTCAGATCTTCGCGATTTTAAGCTCTGAGTGCCAATGCAAATGCTATGGACAGGCGCGTCGCTTACCACCAGGTGCCTGACTTACACTCCGACGAAGAATACCCTTCAGCGATGAGCGTATATGAAAGCG